TTAACCTCACTTAAATAGTGAAGACACAAAAACACACACAGAGCAGCTCAACAAACACAGACAAAACAAGAGCACAAATGTAAAACAAATTCTTTATTTTTTGGTCTAATATAAAAGTCTCTCAGCTTTCTAATGACTATAAAAGTCTTTAAATGCTTTGTTAACTGTTTTTATTCATAAATATAATGTATTTATATTTATAAACTATACATAAATGAATAAAAAGTATATATATATATATATATTAGACCAGAAGCTGAATATAAAAAATAAGAATATATAATAATAGAATATAAATACAGACCAAAAGGTCAGTACCCAAAATAAAAGATAAAGATGATAGATAGATAGATCTGTGTGTGTGTGTGTGTGTGTGTGTGAGAGAGAGTGTGTGTGTGAGTGCGAGTGTGTGTGTGTGTGTGTATATGAGTGTGTGTGTGTGTGCGACGAACTCTCAGCCTTTCCACTGACCGTCTGTCTATCATACACACATCACCATCACAACAACAACCTCTCAGCGGACAATACTGTGAAAGCAGTCAGAAGTCAAAGGCTAAATGTAACCCCCGGCCACACTGAGATGGCATGTTTGTCTTCACACGTGCTGACAGACGGATGGTTATAGCTCATGACGCAGACGCAGGTCTCAGAGTCAACATGAAACGCTTTTCTCAAACCAGTTTACTTCCATAACGAGATGAACGGATATTCAAAGACACACATGACAGGATTTAATTTGATTTGTATAACTATTGTACGACTACTACATTTATGAGATTAAACTATTATGAAATTCAAATGTTGGTCGGTTTCGTTACAGTAACAGATTTAAATGTCAGTCGGTCTCGTTTTATTAGAGATTTAAACACTGGTAAGTTTCCTTCGATTAGAGATTTATACGTCGGTCGGGTTTGTACTTTTAAAAGATTTTTTTTGATTCGAAGATTTAAATGTCACTCAGTTTTGTTCGATTATATTTAACTGATGGTTGTTTTTTCGTTTAAGAGATTTAGATGGGGGACAGTTTTGTTCAAAGTGACAGTAAGTGATTATCAAAAATAAAATAAAAAATTAAGATTGGATGTTGCAGGTGAAAAGTCTGAAAAAAATTTAATGACATTTATCTTATTGAAAAATAACATTTTAGGGTCAATCTAAATATTGAGAAAATCATCTTTAAAGTTGTTCAAATGAAGTTTTTATGACATTTATCTTATTGAAAAATAACATTTTAAAATAATTCTTCAAAATCAGACACATAAAACATGGTCAAATAAAATGCTCTCTCTCTATTTATGCAATCCTAATCTAAATGATTAGAAATATGAATAAGCTTTCCATTGTTGTATGGTTTGTTAGGATCGGACAATATTTGGCCGAGATACAACTATTTTAAAAATCTGGAATCTGAGGGTGCAAAACAATCTAAATATTGAGAAAATCATCTTTAAAGTTGTTCAAATGAAGTTCTTCGCAATGCATATTACTAATCAAAAATTAAGTTTTGATATATTTACGGTAGGACACTTACAAAATATCTTCAAGGAACATGATCTTTACTTAATATCCTAATGATTTTTGGCATAAAAGAGAAATGTATAATTTTGACCCATACAATGTATTGTTGGCTATTGCTACAAATATCCCCCAGCGACTTAACACTGCTTTTGTGCTGCAGGGTTACAAATACAAAGCTGCTTCTGTGTGCAAATATGAAAAGTGAAATGTTAAAGCATCTGAATCCCCAGCTGTTCCATTAATCCCTTTCATTTAATCCCGGAATTCCAGTCTCAGGAATTCTGACTCGTGGCTTTTTTATCCGCACTCGGAGTGGAGCTCACGCTCCTCTCTGTCCTTCATTTACTCTCTCTGCCTCTCATTTTGTCCCGACATGCTCCAGCAGTCCCAGGATCCCACCTGGCTGCATCAGCGCTGGTCATTATCCAGCGACTCCGGCGGGACGAGCGCCGCATTCCTGCCATTCCACCGCAAACCGCCTCTAATGGGCTCCCAGCAGATAAAGTGTCTGCTGTACAGTGAGGAATAAACGGCCTACTGTAGCTAGAGATGAGATTAGAGCCCATAGAGACGGCCAGCGCTCCTGCTGACTCACTGAGATCCGTGTCAGAAAAACCCTCTGCAAACTCACACCAGCAGCTACTGAGGGACTACTCGATTATACATGATGGGAAAACCATTTTCCCCACCAGCAATGCAATGCAATGAAAATAAATAAATAAATAAAAACAATTCAGACCAAAAGATCAATAGCCAAAAAGAATAATAAAAAATATAATAATTTATAATACTATAAATAAAAGAAAAATAAGAATATATGAAAAAAATAGATTAAAAAAACAATAATAAAAGAAGAAAAATGTAGACCAAGAACTCTATAAAAATGTAATTATAAATAAAAGTAAGAATATAAACAATATGCTCACATGAGCAGCTGAGGGTGTAAATGATTAAATAATAAATGTTGTGTCCTAAACTAGGTGGAAATAATATTTTGCACAAATAAAATAAAATGAAATAAAAATCAGACCAAAAAAAAGAAAATAATAATAATTAAAAAAAAGAAAAAACATAAATAAAAATAATATTAAAATATACAAAACAATAATAATACAATAAGTCAACAACTATACAATAAAAAATAAAAATACAACAATTTATTTAAACTATAAATAAAAGACGGAAAATAAAATAAAATTAATTGAAATTAAA